CGGTATCTGTTTCTCTATGTCTGTCCCTCCCTCCCTCCCAACCCCCCCCCCCCTCTCTCTCTCTCGGTCAACCTTTTTCACTCCCCAAGTCCTAAGCTTCTTGCTCACCTCGTGCTTGTCTACGTCGTACGCCACGAGCGGCTGTACCTCCGGTAGCTGGGACCGGTCCTCGTGAGTGGCCCGTGCGGGCGATCCCGTCAAGGGTTCTCTGCTCGACCGCCGTACACCCCCAAAACACCAACAACCAAACAACCGTGAGGGGGCGACGCATGTTGTGTACGCACTTGTAGAAGTACTTAGTACAGCAAAATTTTTCGTGAGGGAGCTACGCATGTCGTTGCATACATGATACGTGAAAGGGGTCGTGGAAATTTTCGCGGTTTCACGGCTTAGCTTGTGAAACAACACCCGAGCCCTTGGCGTGTTTCGGAGGGAAGCGAGCGAGCGAGCGAGCGATCTTCACACGACACCTTACCCTGCGCGTGAGATGGTGCTCCACGGTACTCCAAGAGTCACACCGTTCAACCCTGCCGGTATGTATGTTTCAGAACCAAAAACAACCGGAGGCGTGATGCACAACAGGAGTCCGACGGTGATAAACAGGCGATTTTTCCCTTCGCCTTTCTTGCGTGAAACATAAGACGGGTACTCTTGTGGTTGACCCATAGACAGCGGTCACAGTAGTGAAAGAAAATATCGGGCGCACGAGTACGCCCTTGCCGGACCCTCCCCAAGCTGTCCCCCAAAAACAAAAAATACGTGGTACGGGTGCCTGCATAAGGCCGTATACTGCAAAACGCTTTAGCCGACCCTATGTACCTGGTTTCCGTCTCTACCCAGAGCATGAGACTACTATTTACAACTTCAAATGTTCCATCTGCATCAAGCGACTTAACCAGCCTCGTTCACCGGGCGACTGGTCTTACTGATGCGGCCATATGCAGAACCCACTATTAATACTTCTGTATATCATCAATCAGCCAATCGGCTTCCCAGGGTACAGAAACCACTACTTCTGTATCATCAATCAGCCAATCAGATCCCCTGGTACCAACGAGTGAACTTACCCGCCCAGCAGCTTCCACCGCTCCGCCTTCCCGACAAGGTCTCGGCTGATGGCGGTGGCGACTTCCGAGGCGCTCCAAATGGCATCTGGCGTGGGTTATCATAGCCAAAAAAAAACATCAACAGCAGTAACAGCAGAAGCAGTCTTGAGTTTCATGCTTCTTAGGGTCAGCAGCCTGGGAAGCAAGAAATCTTGCTTCTCTCTGTATATCAATGGCCAGTCACCGTAGTCGCAAGGGTGGTGCGAATATTTTTTTTGAGAGGAAGCGGCAAGAGAAGAAACAACAGAAACATGTTTGGTAAAGATTTACTTGACAGAGGTTTCGACGGGTCTGAATGTGTCTACCCATAAAAAAGTAAAGAGACAAACAGCGTGTGTTCGTCTACAATGTCTCGCGGAAACAACACGATAAGAGCATACATCCTGTGAGACACAGAGGCAACCACAACATCGCTGCTTGGCACACACATTCTCATTTTAATTGGAGATTGGAGAGGGCGACGTGGAAGAGAGACGAAAACGAACCGCGGTACGCCTATCCCCAAGCACACAGTTGTAGTGGCGCTGCCACCGTCTTGCAGACACAGCACTCAAAAAGCTGATGCGCTGGGCTGCTCTTCAGCTCTCGCCAAGAAAACGTGACACTTCAACAGAACCAAGTCTATCGTTTTGCTACAATATAGAGCTGAAATCAACCCAGCGCTGACTAGTCTAATGGGTTGATTTCAGCTTCCATACTACCCAGCATCTCACCAAGCGACAAGCGTTCCTCCTGGCGCGTGACCGCCCTAGTCGGCTTCTTGCGGAGATGGCCGCTGCCGCGCCCCGGTGGGGGCGCCCCACTGCTGCTTCCCTCGATGCTGCCCCCGCTCCCGCCTCGCGACAACGAGGCTGAGGAGTTGTTGCTGTTGAAGTTGTCGGCGTAGCTCGTAGGGAGCACGCCCCGTCCGGAGGTGCTCGGGAGAAGCTCTGTCGCGCACCGGCGCCGCGGTGGCAATCGGAAATTGAACACGGGGAGGGAGAGAGCGGGGGAGAGAGGCAGGGATGCAGAGAGAGAGAAAAAGGGAGGCAGGGAAGGAGAGAGACATAGGCAGAGAGAGAGAGAGAGAGAGAGAGAGAGAGAGACACACACACACACACACAGACAGACAGGCAGACAGAAAGATGCAGCGATATACAGAGAGGGACAGACACATAAAGAGACAGAGACAGACACGTACAGAGCGAGAGAGACAGAGAGAACAGGGGGGGGGGTACTCTTATGTTTTGCATGCCTTAGCGGTTAGACCATTGACCAAGCGTCCTCGAGAAGACGGAGCATTGTTCTCACAGGGCCGATCACCGATGGCCAATCGTTCCTTCCTAGTTTGCCAAAGGTGGCTCAAAAATGTCTTCCCTAGTTTGTCTATCCTAACGATATCCCTTCCCGCCTTTGCAAACCACTTCCTACTCCCCAGTACAGCTCCTCTCTATTCCATGCCTCAACCATCTCCCTGTACGTCCCTTGTATTTCTCCCAGCTCAGTCATGTGCACTTCCCTTTCCGTATTATACAGCCGACATTCCGCGACTACATGAACACGGTCTTCGCATTCGAAGCCGCAATCACATTTGAACTTGTCGTCTTCGTCGTCTACCGTCCTATGTCTTCGTCGACGTTTTGCAGGTCTATGTCCCCGGTCCTGAATTTGACCGTAAGCTTTGTCCCCGCATCCATTGGTCCATGTAGGTAATCCTTGAACCCTATTCCTTCTTTCAACATTCCGTACATTTCTAGACCCTCCTTATCCTTGGTTTCTTTCCTCAGATTCTGTTTTTCTCTCTCGGCACAAGCAACAGATATCTTCTCCTTGAACCCCTGTTGACCCTCTGTTTCCAGCGTTTCATCTTCGTCGGATGTCCAATCCCTTCCATACGTCCTCCACAACCTCGACCCATTCCGTGGGTTGTCTACCCCTCTTTTCGTTTGCCCACTTCGCCTCCCATATTATTCTCGGCAACCTCTCCTCTCCCATCCCGCACATGCGATACTGCCATGTCAGCTTCCTTGCGTCTCTTCCCGACCGTAAGGATTGGACCCCCAATTCTGCCCTGACGGCTGCATTACTTGTGCGCTTGGAGCATCCTAGGATGATTTTCGCTGCTTTCATCTGCGCCGCCTCGAGTTCTTTCACTACCTTCTTATTTCCTTCCCATACTTCTCGGCGTACTCTAGCAGCGGTACGATTACGCTCTTCAAAACCGTCAATTCGATGCGTGTATCGAGGTGCCGGTTTGCGAGTATTGGGTGCAGCTTCCCTGCTCGTGCTTTGCCCTTTTCCGCTACCTTGGACATGTGTGCATTCCACGAGCAGTCTTTTGCGATCTCTACTCCGAGGTATGTGTACTGGTCCACTACTGCAATCTCCTCGATCCCCCACTTCCATCTATGTTCTACTGGTTCCTCCCTGACCTCGTTGCATACCATGACGGCACTCTTCTTAACGTTGGCAGACAAATCTCCACTTATCAGTAAACTTCTTCGCCGGGTCAATTTGTAGTTGCAGTCCCTCAGGGGTGTCCGACATATCAACAAAACCATCCGCAAACAGCATTCCTGACACCAACGTTTCCGTGTCCCCTACTTTTACTCCCTTCCGGACTGCCTCTACGACTTCCAACAGATCGTTGATGAACACCTGGAACAATGTTGGGGACAGCGTGCAACCTTGTGGGACCCCCTGTTCAATGTCGAAGAATTTAGACAGTTCTCCGTCTAGCATGACCGCGCTTTTCGTACACTCTGTCATCTTCTTCAGCACTCTCCACATTTTCCCCTTGATCCCGTACTTGGACAATTGTTTCCACAGCCCATTTCTCCATACGGTATCGTAATACTTTTTCACGTCCAGGAAGAAGCAGTACGTCGGATTTCCCGCCCTCTTTCTACCTTGGATGATTCTGCCTACGTTGAATGCGTGGTCTACGCACCCCCTCTTCTGTCGGAAACCTGCCTGGCCCTCACTAATGCTACGCTCCTTCTCCAATACTCCCACTATTCTATCGTTCAGCAGCTTACAAAACACTTTTCCTACTGTGTTCAACAGTGTGATACCCCTGTAGTTTCCTGGGTCAGTCTTGTCTCATTTCTTAAACAAGTTCACAACCACTCCTTCCCTCCATCTACTTGGCGCATGCTCGTTTTTCCACACCCAGTTGTACAGCAGTACCATCAGCTGGATCATCCCCTTCCCCCAAACTTCATGAACTCGTTGACTATCCCATCCGCCCCTGCTGCTTTGTGGCACTGCAGCTTGTTCACACACGCCTCAACCTCGTCCTCAGTGAACTCCTTTTCTAGTTCTACGTTCCCAACATCTGCCTTCGATGTCTCTTCTTCTCTCTGGGCCCATGCGTCCACCTCCTTCTTAAACACTTGGTCAAAAGCTTAATTCTCCGAAGGTACTCCAAGTCTCTTGTAGTATCCTGCTAGAACTTCCCTTTTTCCCTTCCCACTGCTGACTAGTCCACCATTCACACCTCGCAAAGTTGCTACCCCCCCCCTTGCGCGGTCTTTTTTACCATCCCACTAATCCCTTCCCACATCTGCTTGGCGTTCCCCTCCAGGCCTCCGTTGGCCTTCTGCACTACTTCGTCCCAAATGCACTTTTTCTTCTTTTTCACTAAATAGTCCCTTCACCTGTTTCCTCTTGGCCCTGTACTTTTCCCAACTCTCCTCAGACCCCTCACTCAGGTACTGCTTGAAGACTTCTCTACGTTCCCCTATATCTTCTTTCAGCTCGTCATCCCACCACTTAACCGATACCCCACATCGCACCACCTTCTTTCCCACTACTCTCTCTGCCGTTGTGTTCACTATGGACTCCCATCCTTCAATCACCCTGTCCCCTGCTGCTTGTACGTCTACCTGTCCGTCTTCGACGCTTCTCAGCAGTTTCCTGAAGGGTTCTGCACTACCAGCCAGTCCCTTCTGGAATTCATCCCGTGTCCCCTCGTCTCCCAAACGCTCTACTTTCCACCGGAACACTTTCCTCTGTTTCTTACTCTCCGTCTTTCTAGATCGGTCGATGTTTGCCCATATGAGGAAGTGGTCGGTCGAACCTATATCTAGAGAGAACAGGGGGGGTGGGCATTACACAAAGTCTTTGATGGACGTCTTGCTTACAGCGGATACATGGGGGCTCGTAGTCCGTCAGTGAACAGGTACACCGAAACACTCCAAAGCAAAGCAACCAGACACGTCTAAGCACCCCACTAAAGTCACATGTACCGGCATACTAGTACATGTGTGTACACAGAAGCACGAGAGGAGGGGTCTGGCAGGCGAGCACACGCACAAAATTTTACCGGTTTCTATCATTTGTCGTTGACTTCTATTAGCTTGCCGACCCTTCGGGTCCATTTATTTACCTGTGACCACGGGAATCGACCCCGTCAAGTGTTAGATAGACTATGATAGTACGGACAGAAGAAGGTACTGGGCAGAGAGAACGGAACGGTTTTTAATGTGAAGACAACAACAACAACAACAACAACAACAACAACAACATTCCACGTCGAGCAAACTGAAAATTTCAGATCGCAACATTGGCCGGGGGCGGGGGGGGGTACTCATAGTCGTGCATGCCGTACAGTAGTCGTTAGACCATTGACCTCGCATCCCTACAAAGCCGGGACGGAGCACGACGGGTTCTCACCGGACCAGGCTCTCACATCACCAAGCGCGAAGCGCCGTGAGGTATTCGGCGAGTCGCATGAAGGGTGAGCTGCATCCTGCTAAGGGTGTTCGGCATCTTGTGCTTACTTCCTTGCGTACGGATGACAGCTGCGTATGGCTTAATTTATTTTCTGGCGCTTTCACTTCCAGAGACAGTTGTAAGCACTGTGTAACTGCCTCGAGGATGCTTGGCCATTTTAACACAACGTGGTGCGATCATCCCCCTTGCGCGGAGTGAGGGTTAAAAAAAACGAGTACTGCACATGACGAACCGCGTGCAGTCATCCACAATTGAGCAACGAAAGCAGTACAGGAGGGGGGGGTAGCCGTTAGACTACTCCGAGAACAACAAATGGTAAATAGTGGTATGATAGGTATCATGGGCCGGGTATCAGTCGGCGCTATTTAGTCTGACGCACGGCGCTGGTCTTGACGCACAGAGCAGCAATCGGTGGCTTTCCTCTTGAAACTACATGTAATCGAATGACACGGAAGGACTCCAGACAGTGTAACCGCAAACCCCGGTCGCCCCGGTGGTCTAGTTGGTATCCTAGAAACCTTCTAGAGGCCAGGTCAGGGGTTCGAATCCAGGCGTAAGCGAGCTGTTCTTGCAAAGTGAGTTTTTCTCTCGCTTTCGCTCCTGGCCTAGTGGATAGCGCCAGTTCGTGTGTACACAGAGGGAAGAGAGTGCTGAACTCTTCTCGCATTAACAATCGAAGGCAAAGTACCGCAGAAGGGGAGGGTAGAGAGGGGCTCTTCTGTGTGACCACGGGTTGGAGTAAATGGCACTAGTGCTGTGAGCGCTGATTTGAAGTGAAGCAAAAAAAAAAAAAAGGCTATTAATAGAAGTACTACAATAGACACGAGACACCCAGCCATGAACACAGGTGGGTCATTGAACACAACGACGAATTCATCGCTAACTTCGTGGAATTCGACATAAGAGCGATAAATGTGGAGATGTTTTTGATTTGCTTTTTGTGTTCTTCATTCACATCACCAATCGTTCCAATTTTCCAGTATTTATCCGTTCACCTGTCCAACAAATACATTGTTAGTCGTACTTCGTCAATAAATGAAGACACCTCCGCATGGGCCAGCAAGTTTCCATTCCGGTACTATCGCCGACAATCGTCCTTCAACCACACTCAGCATTACATCTCCTGTGCCTGCTCGATCGGCTACATCGATTTCCTTTACAGCACCGTACTACGGTGTTCCAAGAAGCATGTCCCAAGCAACACGCCAGCAACAGCAGTCAGTGGCAGCAGGCGAGAGTAGTGTACTTCACACACCGTCCCAAAGCAACGAAGAGTAACGTAAAACACCAATTATCCGAAGAACGTAGAGCCTACGGTCGTAATTATATGCATTTCGCACCTCTGTAGACACCTTACTTACCGTCAGCTTCTGTCGGCTGCTGTAGAGTGCAACAGCTGGACCACCGCGCAACGCCATCCTTGTGAGTGAAGCTGTGATACGAGGGGTCGGTGCTGCTATTGAACCCAGCGAATGTAGCGACTGTCACCGCGTCTACATCCATCCTCCATCCACGCACAGCAGCGCAAAGGCAGGCCGAGGAATTGCCGGAGCAGGTGCAAGTAGGGGGCGGTGTGTGTGTGTGTCGTCCCCGAATCCGCTGCTCTACCTCGGCTGCTCTTCGTTGCTGCTGTGGGTGGTGTGCTCTCACAGAAGTGTTGGGGATCCATCGTCGATACACACCAGAGATCAACCGGCGTTCCACTGGTAGCAGCGTATGCGGACCATGTAAAGTACTGCAAAACCTCCAGCAACTCGTACGCACGAAGTGACGGCACACTATTTACCGCTGCCGTGGTTCACCAGCTACAGGCCAATATCCCGTGTATTAGAACTGTTTTGGGGCAAGCCCTGTGTCCAGGCGCTGCAGTCATGCAGAACGCATTGTATGCAAATTGTACAACTCTCAGGAGAGCAGGCCTCGACTCCCCGTCCCGCTTCAACTAAGCCGCTGTGGGGTAGGTGGCACGCATTCTCGCGTTCACCCGGTTTTCAGCGCTCGTTGACATCAAACGCGGGACTTCAAAAAGACTTTCGACTGTTTTTGTCGATGGAACAACAGACGAAGTGATTTATACGTACGCCCGAAAGAGCCCCCAGGCGTGGTTGCATGTTTTGGTTCTCATGTGTGCGCATGTATCATGGCACACTCCAGAATAATGGAGGGGTGAAGCCATGGCGCTACATAGCCGACCTGAATGTACTATTGCTGGTCGTATGCAGCAGTGATGACTACTAGCCTGCGCGGGCTCAACAAGACATGCACATGACGAGCAAGCCTTATCAACTGCTGCCTCTTTTGACAGCAAAAAAGTCACGCCGCATCAAAGAGATTGCCGTTGAACATCTCCGTGCATCGAAGATTCGTCGTGCTTCAACGCTAACCGATCGGCCGGCTTCGGTGATGCGCAAAAGGGTCCTGGTAGTAGTGTGCTGTGTCCTCTTTGTTTTGTTTGTGTGTATGCGAGGCACGCATACATGCGCTTTTATCCGGGAACCCTGTAAGATGGTGGCAACTGCTGCTGATACCCTACGGCGAAACGGGAAACATGCAACTAACTGACCATTCCGGCCGAAACACGAGGCGGCGCTGCTGTGCCTGCTGCCCCCCGCTGACAATAAAACATCCGCACGAGTGGGAACGCTCACAAGAAGGAGCGCGATTCGCCCGACTGGGTTTGTCCGTCATTTCTTGTTTGAGGAGATCTGCCTGAGCAGGGGGCGCGCGGTGTCCTGCCTGTCTGTTGTGTATGGTGGAACGCGCTGAGAAAAGAATAACGGGAGGCACCAGGTGGAGACGGCCCAACACACCAAGCAGTGGTACAAGAACTCTAATCCCTCAAAAAGCAGGAAGACGGGAGCTGACTCACTGTCGCTCTCCATGAGGTGCGCTCTCCAATCTCCACTTTTCTCCGCCAAATCGGTAGCTTCAGCCCTCTCAGCCCTCTCAGATCTTCAGTGTACAGCAGTGCTACAATACACACCGGTCCCTGCTCAATTTGTTGCCCACAGAGGGGCCAGCGTTTGGAAAAGCTAACATACCCACAAGAAACGGCTGGGCCCCTCAGCTTCTTCTCTGTCTGTCTGTGCTTCACCTTTGTGCAGCTGCCTCGCTCTCTCTGTCGCTGCTGGTCTCTGCACACACACGCGCCCTCAGCCATGGCATCGCGCAGTAGCAGAAGGAGCCGACTGGCGTCTCTGGCGTTCCTGGGGTTCTCTGCTCCTTTGGCGAGAGGTACGTGGGTGCATTGAGGCCCCGCTCTGTCAGCATGTCTCGTCATCTTTGATTGCGCCGCGCTTATGACGTACCAATCCGCTGATGATGCGCTGAATCAGCCTCTCGTTGCCCCTGCTGTAGCATGCCAAAACCAAGAGCCCCGCGTCTAGAGTAACTAACCACTCTTCGCTCTGGACACTGATACGGCAAAGCAGGTCGCGATGTGGGCGTGGTGGCTGGTGCTTGCGGCTTCGTTGTTGCGCCCGGTGGTGGCGCGGCAATGTTGCAACGAAGTCGGAGGAGTGTCCCCGCATCGGCTGCAGCTGCGGCGGCAGCCTCAGCGCCGCGGATGGCCTTGAGCGAAGAAGCAGAAGGTGCGTGCACATCTAACGTGTGTGGTGCCGGTCGTTAATAGCTGTTTTCCCTCCTGCTTTTTTGTGCTCTGTCTCCTTGAGTAGACAGAATTTGATGGATCCATATATTTGAGTGCGTGTACATGCGTCGTGTGTCCTGATGTGTCACCGAAATCTATGACGCATACCGAAGTTCCAGTATTTCCCAATGTCGGCTACGGGGCGGGCCTTCAGGATCGGCTGTCTCTGCTCTGCATCCTCCTAAACCATTTGGCGATACCCAAAGGTGATTATTTACGAGCAAGTGTGCTGGTGATCCCTCACCCCCGTCATCCGGCAACGGCATCAGTTCACTGATCGTTCAGACGCGAAAACTAAAGCCCGTGTTCATAGCAGCGGTTCCACAGAGAGAAGTCGTCTTCAATGGACAGACGTTGGGGAGACTGTACCCTTCATGGAGGGGAGTACGCCATTGTTTTCTTGTCACGAGCGGACTACAGAACGAGCAACCTCGTAGAACCTCTTGTTTGCACAGCCCTCCCTCCCTATTTGATCAATGGGGAAACCGACAGGGAATGTATTGGTTTGAGTATAGAGTTGGGAGGTTTTTACTTTTCGTGACGGTGGTGAGTTGCATTGAAAGTCAGCAACCAGAGCCTGCGTTGACAGGATGGCTTGAAAACGCCGGGGTTTGAGATGAGTTGTTGCGGACGACGAGGAGACGCGGTGGGAGGGTAGCCCAGCTTTCCCAGAGATATGGACTGTCAATCGAATGAATAGACGGCGGGGTTTGTGATGGAAAAGGCTGAGTTAGCGCGGTACACGGATGTAGCCATGCGGCTGGAGAACGCGTTGCACGCGGGTTTTGGTAGAGGAGCAGCCTTCTTCCTGGCTGCACCCAGGGAGCGCACACACCGTCTGTCTGTAGTATCCAGAGTTGTGGGCGGAAGCAGTACGAGGAGTGCTGTTGGAGGTGTGTTCACGACCTCGAGACATGTGGTGGATCTCCAGCCATGGCACTCTCTTCTCCGTAGAGATATTTCCAACACGGGCTCTGTACATCGACACCTCCTTCAGGCCCATGTAGAAAACCCCGAATAGGCCGTGCTATTCATAAAATGGAGCAGATTGATTGTATGAAGGAGCACGATTGTGGCCGAACAGCGGCCCCGTGGCGAAGCAAAGAACGACTCACCCAGCGCGCGTCCCTCTCCCGACCCTCCCTCCGTCGTACCCCCCTCGCCCTCGAAAAACAACAGCAACACCGTACTCAGAACTGCCGGCTGACTGGCGAGCACCGCTGCCTCCGAGGGAGTTCAAGCCCAAGAAGGTGACAGAAGCACGGACTATAATAGTATCTCGGAGACCATAAAATTGATAAGTGTTTTATGTACATGCTGCCAGTGCTGGCCCTGAAAATTGTTAGACTTGAGGTGGACAGGGACACGTCTCCCCGAGAAGACGGCGGTATTCTCGCTTACTGTCGCCATGGACATGTATCCAGGTATCCATACAGTGAAAGAGGAAAGAGGCGGCACCCCTCGGTACCGTTTCAGGGGATGGGACCATAATATTGTCTCCTTTGCAGACCCCCACGGAGGCGTGCTGTATACTCTATCCATCTCTCTTGTATTGCGTGTGTGTGTTCCTGAAGTGTCCCCATCCCTGGAATATCTCTCGGACCACGGCTTTTCACCGTCGACAAACGGAGAACGAAATCACCTAGCCTTAATTTCGTATCGTGTGCGTGCGTTTTCTCTCTCGTGCGGATTTTTTTCTAACGCTCTCCCCATCTCTCACGACGACGGCTATGAAACAAATAGGGGGAGACGCAGGAAGAGGAAGGCGTGGAGGGGGAGGGGGTAGGGGGGGCCGAAGGGGACGGCCTGCGTACCCCCGCGGAGGTGCTGCAGGAGGCCACCCGCGTCACCCCGAAGAGGATGCAGGGGCGCATGGCGCAGGCTCCGCCGGGGTTGGAGTCGCTGCAGACGGAGAACCAGCGGCGTCGCGCGCTCCCGCTGAGCAAGCTGAAGCGCGTCAAGCCCAAGAAGAGGTGAAACGTTTTTAGATGTGTTTGCGTCAGTTTTTGAGGCAAAGACGCCGGTTGTCGCACTTGGACGTCAAGCACCGAAACGCCTACACTAGTAAAATTAGTACACTTCCCCAAACTATCAAGTGAGCGACAACCGAAAATCTGTGTTTTTGAGTATCAGCGACCGCCTGCATGTTGCTTTTCTGGCACGGGGTATACACCGCCGGCGGGCTTGGCGCCCCCCCGGAATTTTTCTGAGACGATCACGGTTCTCTCGCTGTATCGTGGTGCGCTGGGCATGGGCGACCAATCCGCGATGATCCCAAAAGTAAGGTTGTATCGGGTGCAGAACAAACTACTAGCACACCAGCACCCCAGAGGTATTGTTTCTTGGTATTAGCGTCTCTCTCTCCCACTCTCCTTCTCTGTTTCTCTCTCTCTCTTCCCCTCCGCGCCCCGCCCCCCCCTCCGCCTCCAATGTAATACGTCCTAGCGTGCGCCTTTCGCGTCTCATGCTGTCGGTTTATGCCCCTGGCGTCTGCCTCATCATTTCCTCCCAGGGCGGCGAAGGAGGAAGAGGAGGGCGAGATTCGACCCCTGGTCCTCAAGACGGACCGCGAGAGCGTGCTGAGGGGGGAGGACTACTGGATCGACTACCGGGAGGTAACGCGAATTACCCGTAACTGGTGTTGTTGAGGTTTGACCGCGAGGTATTTCTGTACTAATGCTGCTGTAAGGGAACTGTGATAACAGCATTACTGTTGTGGTTGAGGTCGTGGCCTCCCTTAGGCGTCTACATCCGCGCCCCGAAGCCTAAGCTTGTGTGTTTTTTTTTCCTTGTGAAAAAGCACACACACACACACACACGGAAAAATTTCCTCTCATGAGCTTGTACAACAAAGAATTCACTGTAGAGACTTCTACCCATCCCCTTTCGATTGTTCTGATGTCTTGAACCGGTCGTCTCTTTTTGATTGGATGTACTCTCTAAGAATGACCGACAACATGACGTGAAGAGAAAAACAAGCGTGTCGCGTAGTTTTCCAACCCGCCTGACCACCCCTACAAACATGAGCGAGACTACTTGTTCGGTTGTGACTTTTGGCGGATGGACTTATCGACGGTTTGACGAGAGCAATCAGCGCTTATTTGGGGCGTTTCGTCGACATTTCGCGGCTGGTGCTACCCCCCCCCACGTGTGTGTGCGCAGGTTGACCGAAAGAAGGCGATACGGGAGGCGAAGGCGAAAGCTCCCGCTCCGGACCAGTTCGCGCAGTCCAAGATGAAGGCGGAGATAGTCAACCCCTACAAGCAGAACTGGATCCTCGCCATCTCCCTCGCTATAGGTGTGTGTCTTGCGTGTCTTTCGAACTTTCATCTACACCGGCTGACCGACGAAAAGACGTGCGGGAGCAAACGCGCAAGACTGTGTTTTGTGTCTTTATTATTAGCATCGACCGCGCTAACCGGCTGACCGATGAAAAGACGTCAGTCTCAGTGCGGTTGAAAACAAAAAACACACTTCTCAATTTGTGTACAAATGTGTGTGTGTTTTTTTTTATTTGCGTCGACGGTGCCAGCCGATGAAATCACGACGTCGTCAGTCTTGTACTGTAGTAGCGGGATAAAAACCACGAAGGCGTTGTCTCTAGTCCACCGGGTTTCCGACAGGGGCGGGCCCGCAGGACAGGAGTTGAACGTCGTCAGTAGTGCAGTGTCCTGCTTCTAAGTGAACGTACAAGACTCGATGCTATCAGGCAGCATTGCTGTACATGTGTATTTGTGTGTTTTGTCCCATCTATTCTTGATGTCGGCCAGTCTTTGCACCTTTGGGTATATTGTTTTGGACGCATCACCCGGGGGCCACACAAGAGGAAAGACGACGCAGCTTTTTTATTTTTTGCTCTCCATCTTCCTTCTGCGGTATACCGCCTGCCTTCATTTTTGTGGCGAGAAGGATCCAACCCGTTCCTTTCCCTCGTCGAGCGTGAAGTCGACTCTGTTGCGTAGACACGAAAAATATTCGCTCTCCACATACATCGACCGCGCCAAGTGGTAGACTAGTAGGGACAGAAGAAGGTACTGGCCAGAGAGAACGGAACGGTTTTTACTGTGAAGACGACAACAACAACAACTACAACATGCATGGTTGGGCCCTGCGTACATCTACATATGGCGAGAAAATTCCGAGTCCGTGTGACTTTGCCGAGATTCGGACAAATGTCCCAAACGTCAGAAGGTCCTCGAGGATACCACCCGAATCACTCAACCACTAATAATATTGTGTACAATTGGTGCGGCGAAAGAATGTGAACGGCGCGGGGAGTAGACGATGAGGTGATCTCGGCGTGACTACTCTACTGTGTTGAAACGCCGAATTATATTATTTATGTGAACAGAAACGCTATTTTTTTCTCCTGACGATTTGGATCGCCGCCTGACAAGCATGGTTGCTGCAGCACCTTCTGTGTACCCGAGAAAACAGATGGTCTCTCTGCCTTGCGTCCTTGTGTTATTTCGTAGCCAAGCCAAGACGACTTTTGGGCGTTACGCTAACCTCTCCCCTGTCCACGCCGTGTCCGACCGCTTTGCTGTACATCCCTGCTCGCGCACTCGCAATTTTTCTCGTGCGACTTACTACTCAACGGCGCCGACGGTGGAAAACAACGATGACGTCAACGACAACGACAACGACAACGACAACAAACAACAACAACAACAACAACAACAACAACAACAACAACAACAACAACAACAACAACAACAACAACAGTGGCCATCGCGGGATTCGTCCGGATAAACCCTGGAATCCTGGACGACCCGGCCATCATCACCTTCCCGAACGAGCTGTGATTTGATTCACGCCCAGCCCTTCCGGCCTGCTGTGCACCTTTATGTTGTGGCCTCTTGGCAATAGAACGTTTCTCATGGAAGACGATAAGACCTCGATGGTGATCCATTTGGGGCTTCATTAAAGAGTAAATTATTATTTTCCCCCTGTGTGTTGTGTTGCTGGAAGAGGTGCTGGCTATCGTGATCTCATGTACCACATGGTTCCACATGCGTTGAGAGCTCGGAAATGTGGGTCCTTTCCGCGCAAAAGAGTTTTGTTTTTTGACGGGGCAGATAACGGTCGGGGGTTGGAACGTTGCAGCCCCAAGAAAACCGGTCGGGGAAAGACAGCTTTATTAACAGATCCATCCGGCAGTGTTTTCGCGGCTCTGAAGCTCTCGTTTCGAGAATCGAGAATGTAAAAAAGTTTTAAGCGGACGCCTCTGTTTTTTAGACCGCTTTCGGTTTGGTCGGCGCTTGCCGTGGTCGCAACAAGAAGCTCGCCGCCTTCCGTACACTGTTTAGGCTGCTGCTTGGCAGCGGAGGTGCTTCACGCACGCAAAATCAAATCGGCAAAGGATTCTCTTGCGGGGCTTGGTAGAGATGTAGACCACCACCAGCAGCTTGATTTAGATGTCGGTACTTTATCAGCGACCGTTTGGCATGGGAAACGCGCTGGCGTTCGTCGTGCAGTCGAGTGGCCGTTGGTTTGGATCGGGGCAACGAGGGTTACGCAATAGGAATGAATGTCGGTAAACACACGTTGTCGCGTCGCTCGGGTTCACGAGACGGGGGTATTCGTGGCACGACACTTAAAAAAAAACGCACCTTTATCTCACCTCCCCGGCTTTTGGTGTGTGGTTGCACCTTGTGCCTGCGAAGAAGCCGTATATCAGATCATGGTAAAGGAAAAGGTGTTCGCGCCTACTATAATAAGGAGGAAGCACATCATGGCACAAAAACGTGTTCGCTGCTGAATGAAACGCTCTCAAGCAGATGCCGAGACCAAGATCGCCGTGCTGCCAACGACAGGTCGCCCCGGATTCCGATGCTTGACCTACGGCAGTGGCGTGAGGCAAACACGCAAGCCGCGGTGTGCCCGACCATGAGCATGGTGAAACGGTCCCGCTGCGTGACACACGAGGCTCTTTATTCTGAATGAATTCAAACCGGGCTCTGCCATTTGGTCGAAACCTTCGAAAACCATCCTTAACCGCAAGTCATGGAACAACGCAGGGCTCTAGTTCAACGGGTGCACACCGGTCTGCCATTTTCTCGGAACCATCAGATCGGCCCTGACTGGAAGCCCTACAACAGCGGCGGCATTCGTGACTCTGCCTTCCTGCCTGAAGAACACCGTCGTGTCGTGACATGACATTCATATCTATCGGGTAGAGGGATACTTAAAGGGTGTATCCTCCTCCTCCAGCTTGTTTCTCGTGACTGATTCGTCGAAAAAACAAGAATAGTGGCAGTCAATCGCTCGATCCCGGCGTGCCAAAACTGCAAACGTCTGCGGTACTACCAAGGAGCTGCGACGCGGTACATGAACCTACAACACTCACGAACCTCCCGCTACTTCCAATATAGGGTAGATAGTTGCCAAGCCAAACATTCCTCCTGTAGTCTTCCCCACGCCACACAAAATCAGAGGACGACGCGATCACTACGACCCAAAACACGATCCAAAACCAAAAAGCAAAAAGGCAAAAACAAAACGATAGCCATAGCTGCCAGATGACGAAAACTCGTGAGTCGTCGGTCGCTCGCCTGCTCACAACACGCCCAAAATAAGAGCCACCTGGACCCACCACAGTTACTCGGGCCACACACAAAAAACGCTCTCTCGTGTTTCGGCTTACGCGTCACAAGCAAAAGCCAGCAATGTCCTCTCCCTCTTGGGGACTCTCGAGATAGACTGGCGGTTTCACCCTCGTCGCTCGACCCCGCCCCCTCTCCTCCACCGTCCCCCGCTCGGGCAAGACCGGGACGTTGTCGCGAGGGGAAAAAAGGTGTGTTGTGTTGTTGGTCCTACCGGGTGCCGTCCTCTCCAAAGAGCGAAGACGTGTCCGTTCTCCTTCTGATGGTGCCGTCGCTTCTCCTCGTAGAGGCGTTACTCTTCGTCTCCTGTTGTCGTCGTACATGTCGGTGGTGGTCGCGGTGACGAAAGCAGGGGCACAGTATTAGCAGTGTTGTTGTAGGCGATGTTGGTGGTGGCCGCGGTGACCATAGCAGGGGTACAGCAGTATTAGCAGCGTTGTTGTAGGCGATGTTGTGTTGGTCGCGGTGACGATAGCAGGGGTACAGCAGTAGTAGCAGTATTGTTGTAGGCGATGTTGTGTTGGTCGCGGTGACGACAGCAGGGGTACAGTATTAGCAGTATTGTTGTAGGCGATGTTGTGTTGGTCGCGGTGAAGATAGCAGGGGTACAGTAGTGGACGTGTTGTTGTAGGCGATGTTGGTCGCAGTGACGGTAGTAGGGTCACAGTATTAGCAGTGTTGTTGTAGGTGATGTAGGTGTTGGTCGCGGTGACGATAGTAGGCGTACAGCAGTTTTAGCAGCGTTGTTGTAGGCGATGTTGGTGGTGATCGTAGTGGTGATGATGATGGTGAAAGCACAGCGGGGTCGTCGTTGTCATTGTCGCCATCGTCGCCGAGGAGGAAAGGGAGCCACATCGGAGTGGAGTAGGTCAACGACAACGTTTGGTTGCTCCGTCAACATGCGCGGCAGTGCTTCGAGTGTCTTGGTCACAAAGATATCGACAAACACAAGACACAGAGTACGTAAACCAGCAAGCGCAAGGGCATGGACCGGCCAACCATCGTAATGAATGAGCACCTCTTACCCTTAAGAGCCAACCAACACCAACAAAGAACACGCTACGCATTCATTGCTAATCTATCCAGAATCTCGTCTGTGGAGCACATGAACTTGTGGAGTAAGTCAAAGATCAAGGGGCGGGGGGGTGGGCACCGCTGATTGCACGCACCTCTTCCCCGAAGAGGGCGTCGTACCGCGACCGCGACTGCGCCACCCGCGAGCCCCCTCCCGCCGCCGCACCCCCCGTCGAGGCAGGAAACAGCCCGTATCGATCGGCCTCTTCCCCGACTCTCCGGGCACCACCGCTGCCCCCCACCGATGATGAACCGGCGGCTGGGGACCCCAAAAAGTCGGCCAATCCGCCGTCGTCGTTGCTTCCACCGCCTTCTTCCAACCCTCGCCGCATGGAGGCGGACTGCGGCGGCGATTGGCTGTTCCTCGAGTTGAAGTCGGTGGCCGATACTGAGGCTGCCCCGCCGCCGCCGCCTCCTCCTCCCCCGCCGAAGAAGTGGGTAGACCTGTTTTCCAACGAGCGCGTTGGGGGGGTCCTTGTTTGGCACGGGGGACTAGTTTGTGGAATTTCTGCAGTATCTTTCAGTGCGGGCAAATCTCAAGCGTCGAAGATGAAACGACGCATCAACCACGATGATGACGACGACCGTGCACAGAAACCCACCAGTCACAGCACACCGATTTTACCTGGTACAATCAAGCAACTTCTACGAACGCCGGAGCTCTGCAAGTACGTGTACCCACACCGCAAAAAAAAAACTCTGGATGAATGCATAAACACCGCGTACCGCAAAAAAAAAACTCCACATGCACATAACACGACACCGCGGACTGCTGCATGACATTTCGAAGTCCTGCTCGCTCCCGAGGAAGTGGAGGTACGCGCGCCCACACCGCAAAATCCTTGGATAAGTACCACACCGTGTACCGCAAAAAAAAAAAATACACACACACACACATGCATACATACCGCGGTACGGCACTGTACGGTACCTGCTCGCTCCCGAGGAGGTGGAGGTGGCCGGGTGGCCGCTCTGCCTAGAGAAGTTGTCGGGGAGGCCACGGTTGGTCCGGGCCCGGGGGGGAACAGGGGGGGCGCCTCGCGACCCACCGCCGCCACCGCCTCCTCTGCCGTTGCTAGCCGCGGCATCAGACCCCTGAAACAACAAAAAGAGCATAGCAACACGAGAAGGGTGATGGAAGTTCGGTGGGTGCGTCAGGGGGAGGAGAGTGGCGAGGGAAACAGGGTGTCAGATGTCAGACAGATGTGTTTGCAATGTCGAAAATAGCGTGAACCGTCTCTCTTTTTCGAATGGGTTCGTAAATGCGTGTATGTGGGGGGGGGGGGGGGGGCGTGTCCTAGCTTTAGACGCACACACACAGCCGCACTGAGGCTGACGTATTCCCATTGGTCAGTTGGTTAGCGCGGTCGAGGATAACTAACTAAAGACACACACACGCAATGGCGCACTCCAGGCTTTTTTTTATCTCAACACTTGGCCACTTGAAGGTTGCGAGGATACCAGTTATTGACTAACCACACGGACAGCCTGATGGCAAGGTCAAGACTAACGAGATGGCAGCACCAGAACGGGCGACTTCGTCGAGACTGTGACCCAGTATATCTACGCAGAATTTTTTTTCCATGTATGCAAACATACTGGATGACGTATAGAATAGGCTAAGTTGGAGTTGGGGTTAGGGTTGTAGGGTCTGCGTGCCCCCTGCCTGGTCATTTTTCGAATAACCCTACTTTCTTTGCGGAGGCAGTCGCTGTGACCAGGCTACTCGAAGAAAAACAGACACGCACAGACGCACGCGCGTGTATTATTGTTGTTGCTCCCACACCTATTATACCTTTGTCATGAGTTGACTATACCTGTGTCATGAGCTGCTCTGCCGCCAAGTCCGGGTCGCCCCCGCTCTTCATCAAGGCGTCTTCCGCCTGCGGCCTGGAGAAGCCCATGTCCACCAGCCTTCCCACCAGCACCTTTGGTTCGTTCGTTCGTTCGCAGGAGAGCCGAGGGGCAGGCAGACGATTGGACACGTGCTTCCTTCGTGAGTGTAAGGCAAGCAGTACGCAAACAACAAGATACTTTCATTTCAAACTGAAAATCAAATCAGCAGATGCCACCCCAAGAAACAACTACTTCAAGTGTTTGACTCAAGACACAAACGAAACAAAAACACTCACACACCGCGTCATTGCATACCTCAGTAGATTAGTGTCCAGAGAGTCTCACCTCGTACTGCTATCGACTGCACTGACTTTAATGCACAAATGGTAACCGTTTTCGTTCAGCAACCATCGCTTCGTCCTACATCGACTGGTGGTCTACAACAACAATCAAACCGCGACGTCGTTTCAAGGAATCTGCCCGCTTCCAGGAACCACGTGCCTACACCTTTGCCGCAGGCTCTACATTCTACACGCCCACCAGTATACAGCAGTCGGAGAACCTGCAACATCAGGCAAAAAACAAGACCAACGCTTAGCTAAGCTACACGTGTTTCACAGAGTTGAGCTTTCCCCTGGGGAGGTAAAGTTTTTGTTTTATTGGTCAAATTTTTCTTGGGCACCGGGGCCCCAGGCAGAGGGCCTTTTTTCATTCCCGGCCCCCCCTTCCCCTTTTTCCTTTCGGGGCCCAACCCTCGTTGGGGGGAAAAAACCATTTGGGTTTTAAAAAGGATTTTCCCCGGGGGGGGGTTTCTTACGTTGCCCTAAATATGAATTTGCAAATGTGTGGGGGGTTGGTGTGGCCCCCTTCAAAAAATTTTCCTTCGGAGGGGGGGTTTTGTGGGGGGGGATGTTTTTTTGGTTCATTTCGGCCCCCCATGGGGGGGGGGGGGGGGGGGGGGGTTGTCTTTTTGTGGGAATGTTATCTTGCGTCGTGTACGGCACACGTGCTCACGTCTTGTTTCCGCTGCGCCGCGCTCGCCGCGTCACTCGCCCCTCTCCCTCCTCCTCCTCCTCCAACCGGGCGGCGGGGGTCCTGATGACGCATGGCCGTACCAGGTACCACACGAACACAGACAGACGTCCCACAAACAGCAACCACGAGAAAAGGAAGAGAGAGCAGGGGAAGGGAGGCAATGGGTCGGCGGGTGAGGGAACGAGAAGGCCGGAAGCAACAACGGCGGCCAGGCCCCGGGGATGTGGGGAACGCACATGCTGCGCTGCCGAGGGCATCATGGAGAGACCCCTGCTGCCGATGATGGCATGCGCGATGCTTGCTGGCCTTGTGCTTGCAAGCACACATGGAATAATCTCGATTCCTTGTGGCGAAAACTGGTGAAACCAAGACACCAAAAGTGTTGTTGAAGAGAAATATCACGCTTCCAAAAAATGGTTGTACAAACACGCAGATTCCAGTCGCGGAAGGGTATCTTCTATCCATAGACTCATGGCAAAAGAAAGCTTCCATCGATAAACACTAGGGCTAGAATTCCTCTCCTCGAAGCCATTTGCAGATTTGGACACTCGGCCAACAGCCTTCCCCCGCTCCTTCAACTACCGTTCATGGCATCCACAATGTGTTCGATAACCAGAAGTATATTTACAGCACTTCCACATGCATGTATCGATAGACGAAAATAATAAACGAAGCTAAAGTCAAGGCCAGCACCGAATAAGGAAGGCGGAGAAAAAAAAATCCTGTGTCGCCATCACTTCCCTTCTTCCGGTGTGCCCCCGGCTGGTGCGCCCAGAAACTGTTCCGAAACCTTGAAAAAAAATCCCGACGTCCAAAATGCCGGATGAGTAAGACAAAAACAAATTCCTTAAGACTGCTCTACTCACCGGTCCTCGAGAAGGCGCGCCTAGTCCGGCCGCCGCTCCGCCCTGGGCAGGCCTCACGGGGAGGTCGTAGTGGTCGGGCTGCCGCGCCCCGCCGGCGCCTGTGGTACTACTCCCACCAGAGGACTGCCGTCCGCCGAGCCCCCCCGCCCCGTAGGAGGTGCTAGTGCCTGCGGTGGCGGTGGTGCGGCGGTTGGTAATTGGAAAAGGGGGGGAGGGGGGCTACTCATGTTTTGCATGTCTTAGTTGATTTGTAGATCATTGACCACGCGTCCTCGAGGAACGGACCATTGTTCCCGCAGGGACCGATCACCGATGTCCAGAGGTGGGGGAGAGAATGACAGTTATACACAAAGGAGAGGGCCGAATAGAGAGTCCACTCAAAAACGCGGGGTCGCCTACAGATTGGCCTAAGGTGTTCCCTGACCCCTGATGTAAATACCCCGCAACAGCCCTTCTTGAGGGGACGAGGTACAGCAGGCTCGATCGATCGGTTCATGGAGGGCGCAACACGAGGACGAAAAATCCATAGGCTAAGCAGGAGGACGGGGACACGCTCTTCACAACCACAGAAACGCCTGCACTCTTGCATGGAACACCCATGGCTCAATGGGTGCCTGCCTCCTGGCGAATACGGTACGTTTTACCGGATACAGCGTGCCCTCTTCTTGCCTGCAACAACCACTATCTCAGTGCGTGCGGTAGGTTTCACCGAGAATCACTGCCATCCAGCGGCATGTGTGCATGGATGCACACGTGCTCACAAAGGCCCAAATAAAAAAAATAAAAAAATGGAGAAGGGAGTAGGCGGTCAATCCCATACCGGAGGCCGCGGCGGCGTTGGCAGCAGGGCGGCTCCACGCGGTGCTGCTCCAATCCGTGCTGGTAGATCTTCCCTCCGCCTTGCATTGTTTGGGGGAGGGAGAGAGGTTATGGGGGAGAGGCGACGATTTTTTTTGTTTGGGGGGGGGAGACGTGGGGTTTTCCGGTTTTTGTCGAAACAAACAGCAACAACAACAACAACAACACCCACCACCACCACCACCATCAACAACAACAACAACAACAACAACAACTACAGCAGCACCACCACCACCACCAACAAACAACAACAAACACCAGCAACAACGGATCGTAACGGACGCATCTATGTCAGTATTACCTGCGCCAAGAGCGCTGCTTCCTCCAAGCGAGCCTTCATCTGAGCCGGATCGTCGCGCCCGTCAGTCCCCCTGCTGCACACGGAATACAAAGGGAGACATACATGCGTCAAGTCAACCAAGCGCACGACGCAGTAGTGCGATGGCCAGTGCTGAGCCACTCAGCGCCTTACATGTATGGCATCGGCATTCTTTCGAAATTTGATGAGCAACCCCTTGCAGTAACAGGTTCACAAACGAGGAAGAGGTTAGCACCGAATGTACAAAATATGCAAGGTGCTCCGCGTCCCGAAAGGGGGTGACGCGGAAGCAAACGACAGACACGGGACAAGCCAACAAAATTACCCTCTGCATTGCAATTTTTACGGCCCTCCCCCCAGCTGCACATCGCTCCGTCCCGGCATTGTACGGATGCGAGGTCAATGTTCTACCTACTCCAGCATGCTTTCACATGAGTACCCCCCCCCCACCTGAAAAGGTGGGAAGTGTAGATAGGCTAGAGAAAGCATTTGAGCCACCTTTGGCACCGCAAAGTAGGAAGGAATGATTGGCCATCGGTGATCGGTCCTGTGGGAGCAATGCTCCGTCCTCTCGAAGACGCGGAGTCAATGGTCTAACCGTCAAGATATGCTATTACACCAGTACACCCAGTTTCATCCGTGTGAAACGTATCCTGCGCCGGCGAAAACCCGGTATTGTAAGGATGCGAAGTCTATGGCCTACCGACTAGGCATGCTTTTACGTAAGTACCCCCCCCACTCCCCCCCGTCACCTTCCAGACGCCTGCTGGAGGAGTCCTTGCGAGCTGTCCACGTAATCGTCAGCCGTTCCGGCTCCGCCGCCCGGCCTGGTGGCGACGAGGTCGGGGGCCATCCGCATGAGGGTTTCCAAGCCCTTGAGGAGGCGTTGCTTCTTGGCCTGCAGGGAGCGCCGCTTCTCCACCACGCTCGTGTCCTTTTTCATTTTCATTTTCAGTTCGTTTTTTCGAAAGAGCAAGACAAACATGAAACGAGAAAAGTTGCGCGTGTGAGTCAAGTACGTCTGCTACGAAATGCGAATACGGTGGGGGGACCCGAAGAAGGCGGTGGGGGGGGAGCAGCTGATAATGACCGCCTTATATGGGGCGGCCGCCTTACTCAACGTAAAGAAAATAACTTGATTATTCCGTCTATGCCAACCAATTTCACCTGCCTTATACGGGGCGGCTGCCTTACTCAACGTAAAGAAAATAACTTGATTATTCCGTCTATGCCAACCAATTTCACCTGCCTAATATGGGGCGACCGCCTTACATTCAGATGGCCTTATTTGGGGACCCCCACTGTACATACGTCAACGAAAAAGCTCTTCCACGTCGGAGAAAACAAGCACGTCTGCTACGAGATGAACTAAGTTAATGAGCAAATAGAACAGAGAGGGTACTCAGACCCGATCTCTAACCCAACTTCCCCGATTGCATGCTTCATCCAACGCGTGTACGTAATAGAAAAACCCTGCGAGGACTACTGCTTGCACGTCGGAGATTGAACACAAGCACCTCTGCTACAAAATGCATTGCCGTATATGAAGATAACACACCCCCCTGGACTAATTTTCAAAGCTCGATTACGCCACGACGAAGAGGATGCATAAACGAAACAAATACATTTTTGGAAAGCTCTCGACGAGACAGCTTCAACGCCACCGTTCTCGGCGCTGTGACTCTTTCTGCTGTTTAGAAATCGAGATTTGAAAAATCGGTCCAGGGGGTGTGTTATCCCGTGTCATTCACGGTATTCGTACATACATACCTCAACGAAGAGCTCTTCCACTTCCGAGAAACGGTTAGTGAGAAGGAACAGCTCCGACTCCACCTTGCCCAGCAGCTTCACCACGAAGTCTTGCTCCATCGTCATACACACGTTGTCCACTAGACGCTTTGTCGCCACGTTCCAGTAGGCCTGCAGCACATTGGATCATTCTTCTCTGTTACTACTATAATACTTAATGTGGTTGTTGCTAACGTTGCTGCTATTGTTTTTGTTTGTGTTGGCACGGGTGGTTGCCGACTACTTGCAGCTGTTGTGTTTAGCGTGCAAGTTGTTGGCGTGATGTACGCTAAAACGCGTATCGTCGCTTTTCTACCGTGTACGCCATGGCGGCGGTGCGTATCAACACAGGGGTCACGGTGCTAAAGAGAGATAGTGGCCGCGGGGGCAGCAGTCGGAGACTTCTGGCAAGCCTTCTGGGCGTGACGAAAACACACCCCAACACAACAAACATCGACAGGAAAACACATGTTCACAGGTAGGTACAAATCGCCAGCGACGGCACAACGGCATGAAAAAAAAACGCTTGAACAAGAGTACGGAAGAGGCGGTATAGAATTGCACAAGAGGTCGGGATGATTAACGATCCCGTAACGAGAAGACATCAGAAGACAAGTACAACTCCTCCTTCGTTATGTTTTTTGTGCAGCATCTAATATCTCGTGGTACATTACCTGCAGGAGCGTGCACATGTCCTCGACGTTCGCCATCGTCCCCACCCCGTGGTTTCGCATGTACCACTCGCTAAGCTTCTCCATCACGGCCCCCTTGAGGGCTTCCATGTTCTCGGGCGATTCCCCCGCCTCGTCCATGGCATCCTTTCGTGTACGTAAGAAAACACCCCCCCCCGCCCGCCGCCACCACCCGACGGGATTTGACGGAGACCACGCGAGCAAAAAAACAGTCGTGTGGACGGCATCAGAGATGGAAGATCATGGCCAACTGTCGGATAAATCGAACTCCACTTTAAGGGAACAACGACATCAACACAGCAGCATTGGTCGTGCTAGCTATGATAGCTATTTCTTACCTCCACGGCCTTGTCAAAATGCCTGAAGCGGATGGTGTTGATGACTTCCAGCATCCCCTCGTTAGTGGTGAAGGGGTCGGACTCCTTCTGGAAAATCTCGTCGATCCTGCACCCCCCCCCCCCCCACCATCCGGATGGAAATGGA